GCACAGTCATTTTGAGATAACTGACATAATGCAGTATCTTAATCCTTTATTTGAAAGGCTTTTCAATGAATCACATGCTATTTACTTTATACATATTTATTTATTTATATCTAGACATAAATAAATTCATATTTAGCTTACACATGCTGTTAAAATACCAAATTTGCAGTCATTTAACAATAATTGTTGAGCTTGTGAGTAATGAGCACTCAGTCTTGTTGACATGATACAATTCCACATTCGGATACAGTAATTCATCACGGTGTTAATAATTTAATGAGTTGTTGCCCACGGATTGCCGGGAAAGCTAAAACCCCCAACCTGAAAGGAACAGACAAATAACCTCACCTCCACATGTTGGCAGGTTTGGATAAGTTTGCCCATCAGACTTTCCAACTCACTGGTCCTCTTGATTAGATTGCTGAGGTTGGAATCCAAGGCTTGCTGCAAAACAAAATTGAAAGGGAACATTTCATTATACATTGCCTCCCCAATCAAACTGTAAACAGCTGAATAAATCCTGGAAGAGAGTTAGGTGAATAGGAACATAAGGACCATATCAAGTGTAATGAGCACGTGAGAGGACACACAAGGTTGCCCCTGGATATGAGTGGCCAGATTTGGGCTCTGATCAGTGTGAGCCCCCCCCCCAAGTCCTAGCTTTGTGCCAAAGATCCCATCATACTGCCCACTGAGGCCATGAAGCTAAGCAGAGCATCTGCCAGTAATTTGGACAACTGAACCCAGGGTGTGCTAATCACCGAGTCAGATCAAAGGGTGATGTTTCGAACTTAAGCTCTTACTATAATCGGGCAGCATGATGATGGTGTCCCTGTGACATTACAGAATGTCTAATATTATAAGCATTATTCAGAGGAAGTAAAAGATTAATGCATGATTATATTAAAATGATTTCAATTCAAACAAAACTGTGGTCTTGCAAAACCAAAAGCAGATGGGTGGAGAAGGTTGTAACTTCAAATATGGATGACAGATTTAGACTGCAAACTGAGGATACTGCACACCCATGCTGTAGCCACTTGTCAATTACAGTGTGTTCATGATCTCTATTTTATTCCAAATTGGACCATGATTTACAAATTTACCATGATGCTGTAATGGATATGACTGGAAATTAGTGCTTCAAAACCATAAACTCATCTGGGAAATGTTTACTGAGGTCATAAATCAAGTAAAAAGTTATTTTCCTCATATACTTCATGCAGCCTAACTGTGTCTTGCTGGCCATTAGGATAAAAAAGCAGTTAAAAGTACTTCTATACTAGTGTCATTTAAAAAAACTGACACCAGACATTAAAATAAAAAAAAAAAAAAACAACTGAATTTTGGGGTTCTCTTAGAAACCTGCATTTTCAGCTAAATCAAATACAAGCAGAACAACGTATTTCAATCTATTATTAAGTCTTCAGCAATACATGTGAATGCATCTGAAATTTTACAGTCAAACAGTTACAAACTGCCTTTGAATTTCACTGTTTGTAACTATAGCACCTGGTTCCTAAAACATTGATTTAAAAGAAATTATTGTAGAGAACCATAAACACTAATCACAAAAATATAACTCTGACTAACATCCCTTTATTCAAAAGGAAAAAAAAGAACCCACAAATACTTTGAGATGAGACCAAACAAGCACAAGAAGCCTGCAAAGATTTAAAGCAAATAGATGTTGGGAGAGGCTCTGTCATGTTAGTTCAGTCTCACATTGTGATTTCATAAGGTGTGTGAGTCACTGTACTAAAATAGCAGAGCCTCTGTTTTACTGCTCTTACAAAGATAATTTATTTATATGGAAAAGAAAATGTGATGAAAGCCATTTCAGATGATCCGTTGCAGGTCCAGGTTATGGCGGCTTTGAAACCTCCTAAGTGGTGTACGAAACATAAGATATTCAGCTGATGGTGAATACAGCAAAATACAGTATGACCGTTAAAAACCACAAAGTAAAATCACCTCAGCGAAAATTTTTGCTGTACAGGCATTTTCAATTAAGCTAAAATAACTTCTCTTGCAGCGTGAATATTCTTCACATGTTTAGACAGCTCAGTCTAATGGAGGTCTCTTTCCTAAAATCATTTAAATCTGATGAGAGGAAAGAATAGTGGCTTCCTTTTGTATGGGAAAGCTTCTGGTTCCACACCTTTTCATTGGCTGGCCTCTCTTCCTTCCTCTTAGAGTCCTGAAAGGTCAACGTCAGGACTCAGACTTTTATCCTGTGTCAACATTAGAAATTTTATTCACTGTGCGACTCTTCATCCTGTGAGCAACACAGGCCGTGTTTTGCATTACTTTGCTGGAGAACACCGTAACTGTATTTGTACCATAGTGTGTGTGGTAACTCTGGTGTATACATACATGTGTATAATCTGTGCTATATTTAAGTAAATGAATCAAAAATAGATGCAATTGTAATAAGTTATCAACTTATACATTTATTAATTACTTTTTGATGAGCTTGTAAGTAGAATCCATTTTTTGCTTTTCATTGTTCACTTTAGTCCTGCCTTGGAATATTTCCAGAAAAAGCAGGTCAGCTGCCTCTACATCTTAACAGGCTCCATTCATGTGGCAATATGAAATCTTGAATGCTGTTTTTGATTGTTCTTGTTTTAGTTTTAAACCACCTCTTCTCTGCCAAATGTCAAATCAATGCGTACTGCTCCAAGCAACCGAGCCTGCTATGCCTGCGACCAGCCAACCACACCAAAGTGAGTGACCACGCTGGCGAACAAGAATGCCTCTCAGGGCTGGATATTGCTAAAAATTCAACAATGGTTTCCTTCTAAAATGAGAAACAGGCTTTGACACTAAACAGAATAAAGCTTCTTCACCAGCTGTGAAAGTGCTTTCTAAATCAAAATGCAATGGACTTGAACTAGTTTTACTGAAGACATCAAATGTAGTAAATTAGTAATTAATACAGTCATATTTATGTTTGAACAGGTTAACTAGTAGTCTTTATTCTATAACCTTTCAAAAAGAGCTTTTCCAACACTGATTGTAATGATGCAGATTTTTTTTCCTCACAAAAATACCACATTAAATATCAGTTGGTTTGATTTTTATAGAACTTTAAAAGTACCCACATACTGTGTGCGACCGAGCTGTTCTAGTATAAGTTCTCTGATGACAATGTTTGGAAATTTATATCACGAGAACATGCGAGGCGTACGTCAAAGTCAAGAGGTGAAACTAATACCTGCGGAATACATGAGTGCAATCTCTTTTTAATTAGGCGCGCACAAGGTCATAACAGTGAAATGAAGAAAATTTAACTTATCCATTTCCTACTATCACTGAAAATAAATATTTCAGCGCTGTGGTTGAGTATCCCACCGTCACCTCGTTATAGAGTAGTCCTGGGTCTTAATTTCATTTCCTCCTCTTGTTTTCCACGTGTTTACATGGGTTTCTTCCCACGGTTTTAATCTAGCTGGTTTGATCAGCTCAAGCTTTACAACGTCTGCATGACTGTTTCGTATGTTTACATATAAGCTCTGTGATTATCTGGCAAAAAAGGGGGTTTTCCTTAATGCTTCTGCCTTTCCTATGACTTTAATAGGAATGCAGCGATATAAGAAAATATAACATGGATATATAAGATTTATAATTATTTAACTGGGATCATGTCACATAATTAAGGCTGAAACACAGACACGCACACAAAGACGCACATGTGTGCCTTTACAAGTCACAGTATCCCTTTGTCTGGGAATTTGCGAGAAATGTGAGGCACTGTGGCTATAAACATGTGCTTGAAAAAAGCCAACAACTATCAACAAGCTCAGCTGCATGCCACCTGGGTCCTGTCCTATGCCATGAGAAAAAAACTATTTCTCTCTTTGTTGAAAATTGTCATTTCCTCTTTCACTTGGGCTAACAATGCAACTAACAGTGCATGTGCATCAAGGGGAAAAAAAAAAAGAGTAAACACATGAAATAGTAAAATATGAGATACGGCGATAGGATACCGAAAAAGGTAATTGGTTAATGTTTTTCAAGAGAGAAAATAGACCTTTGCTTATAACAGTCTGCAAGAGGATGAAAATGATTCGGTTCGCCTTAATTCACCCACAATCCTAATGTCTGCAAACATCTGCAGGATTTTATTCTCATTAAAAGGGAAGTAACAATGTCACAGCACACATTAACTACTTCGTGAAATAATTAAAACACACCAGGCTCACAATGCTGAGTGCTTTAACTCTAGCATTAATAACCATCCAGGCCATATTGCCATGCCTCATTACTTCATGTTATGCAGACCAGCTGCAACTAGCGTTTCACTTTCATTTCACTGGTCTTGATTTGGTAATCGATCCCTTCAAAAGTTACATTCAGGTCCAGGCAGATCTACGCAGTAAATCTGCCCCGAATGTGTAATTAAAGAAATGATGCTGATCACCTGCTCTGCCTCCTGGAACGAATGATCACGCCCCACACAGAGAAAGCGGCCGGGAGATTTCTGCACAATGACAGCACGATCAAACAAAGGAGAGAGGTTAAGGCTGGTCCTATCTTCCCAATATGTTGCAAAAAGATTGTTTATATCCCACTTCCACTGTGACCAAGCATTGTGAAAGAAAGGAATGGGGACAAAAAAGGCTTTCAGTGCTGCGTGTGATACATAAAAATATCCTTTTGTGAGTCATGCATTAAGGGAGTGTTTTGTGAAAAGAATAAGGGTGCTCTTTTTTTGTTATGCAGCCTATGCCATGCAGACAAACTTTAAGGTGAACTTTAACTGAACTGAAAAGCTTTTTGCAGCCGAGTTTAAGACTTTCCCAAATTAAAACAGTAAATGTTTGATGTTCCCTTGTGTATGGTAACTTTCTTTTTTGTGTTAAAGTTCCATGGAACAACTGGCTTATAGTGGACGATAAAATCATCCTGTTGAGTTTGCGAGTTACTTTATACACCTACCTAAGCTAGTTTTTTTATGATAGAAGCTTATTTGTGAAGAAAAGCCAAACCGCCCTTTTATACTCCAGCAAACAGCATCTTCTTATGTCTTATTCATGTCGGCCCATCTACTGACAATGAGCAGTACTACCTAAAAGTGTGAAAGCAGTCTCTGACTGGCCAAGTGGGAAACAGCTTCAAAGTAAACACATTATCGCTAAGCGTAATTTAGAGAGGAAGTCATTTCGTACAATTATTTATTTCACAATGCCGAATAAAGGAACTTTTGTAGTGTTTGCTAATTCGCTACAGAAAAACTCAACTCTAAACTTGCTTCACAAAAACACCCCTCTATCTCTCTTACTAGAACTGCGAAGTATTATTGCACTTATTCTTGTAAATCATCTGTATTTTTCGAGTAGCAAATCCGTCATGGAGTACTTTCTTGTTGACTGTCTGTTTCAGATAAACGACTTAAAAAATAAATCGATGAGATTTAGTTTCACATTCCTGTAATCAATACTCTTAATTTATCTCTGTGTCTTTGTGCGTTGCCAAAATCGAGCTGTGCAAAAAGCCCACTTAAGTTTATCATAATGTGGAAATTCAATATTTTCATTATCAGCTTGCCAACCTGTCATGCTGAGAAGCTGAAAGAGGTTTTTGAAAAATTCAGAAACCGTCTCTCAATTATGTGCTGGTAACATTAGTGAAAAATCTGTTCTCACTGTGTCCTAAATCCCTGAGCTTCTCTAAAATTATTTCTTACCTTGAGTTTGTCATATCGGTCACTGAGGGCTGCGACTTGGTGGTCTCGGTGTCGGCCAACTAGCTTACACAATGCGCAGATCAGCTGCTCGTCCGTCACACAGTACATGTTGACCTTCTCGTCCTCGTGCTCCAGACACATAAGCCCTCGTAGATGTGAGTCAAGCAAGGGCTCGATTAGACGGTGTCCCGTGAAAGGCTTTTTATTTGGATGGGTGGCCTTGAGACACTCCTCGCAGTATGACACCTCGCAGGTGACGCAAGTCTTCACGGCATCCTGTGGAGGGTCCTGTTCGCAGAACTGACACTGGACCCGGTTGCAGGGGGACGTCATGGCTGTGCTGTCAGGGACAGCTCGCTCACGCCGAGTCTCGTTAGGAGAGTTGGGTCCACTTAAAGAAGCTTTCTGGTAACGGTCGATGATATTCTGCAGAGTGACGTTGCGTTTGAGTCCCTCTAAGCCCCTCTGGTTGAGGGTGATGACATAGCGACAGGTGGGGCACTGAAAGGCGCTGATGGACTGAATTGGCTCGCTGGGGGTGCAGTGGGAGACCAGGATTCGGTGGGCGCAATTGAAACAAAGACTGTGAGCGCAGGGTAACAGCAGTGGGTCCTCGAAAAGCTCCAGACAGATTGGGCAGGTCAGCTCAGACTCCAGCGTTTCCATTTTCAAGCAAAACAAAGCGGGATGTTCAGCGAAATCCAGGGAAGCTGATCAGCTATCTGTAAAGATGACACAAAAATAAATCAGGAAATGCTAGCAGCAGCGACAACGGTTAAAAAAATGATAGACTGTTGCTTATTAGTTTCTATCAAGTTATTTTTCTGAGATTAACTGATGGAGAAACAATAGTTAGCTGGAGTCCTAATGTCCACAATCAAATCCAACATATTCTTTGGAAGGAACAATAAAAAACACATTACGCATACCCGATCTAATTACCAGTATTTATGATAATAAAAACAAAGTTATTCATCTCTACTTGAGTTTCAGCATGCACCAGAAATCGACTGAATGTAAAAAACATTAATATTTTATTACATAAATATTTGTAAGAGATATCTGATTATGGAAATGAAGAATACTGGAAAAATAAAACAAGCAAGCAGGAGAATTCTCGGGCAAAAACACGTGTTTGCACATAATACATAAACATGTATCAGCTTTCAGTTTGGTCTGCGTGGCTCAACTGAGAACTTAAAGAATGCAGCAGCAGCTCCTTTTAATTTGGCACAGGAATAGTCTAGCCTGTCTATACTGTAGCCCGTAGGCCAGCAGGCCAGTGAGGACTGACAACTCAGCCAAGCAGAAGTGTATTGGCCTGCTTGCTGATGGCTGGGGCTACACACTATCACAGACACTAAGCCTTTGTTCCCGGCCAGTCAGACACCCCAGCTGCGAGTGGACACACTGTGCTCACAGCGTCTTTCTATGTGAACTCTCTACCTCCACTCATTATGTGTGAAGAAGGCAAAAGCTCATTATCAGGACAGTCGGGCACAAGTAGCCTTTTGAAGTTATGAGGATACAGCAATTACCTATGAGCTACAAACCTGGGTTTGTTCTTTCTATTCTATTCAAATCCTCGCAGACATTCAGCGATCCCACTGTACTGCACAAGAAAAGAAGCAATTGTTGCACTTGTCTCTTGTGACTCTGATGCATCTGCGGGCCTTTGTTTCAGTGCTATTTTGTTCTTTAAAGGCAAAGCAGCAAATGTAGGTGCCTAGAAATTGAGAATCAAGGGATACCGCTCCATTGTCCAAACCCCTCTGGTGTGAACAAAATATGCTTTCAGGAACAAATGTTATTTAATAACAATACTATATTATGTTAACTTTACAGATGATATGAAGTCATTTTTGCATTGTACTAAAGCAAATAAACCTCTACAGGGTAACAACATGATAGTAAAACATGGTAAAAAAACAACAACTTCTTTGATTTTCCGCAGCAAGAGAAAAGACAAAATCACACATTATATTTTTTTTAGCAAAGCAACTGGATAAACATAATGCTTTTGCGAGTTGTTATTTTCAATAGGATGCCCTAAATACAAACTAAATAAAGGGCTTTGTGTGACAAACACAAAGCAAAAAGACACTTATCCTCTGATGTCATCGCTTATGGTATAAAATATCCACACATTATAAAAAGCTTGTAAAACAACACTGTGGCAAAGAGCCCTTGCAAAGTGCGTTACAGCCCCAAGTACATTACGCACTCCTGAAAGTGCTCCCATTCATACACAGTTTACTTTACCCACCGATGGATTTCGCCCCACTTTGTACTGCCGAGACATTTTTGCTGAAGGAGAACTTCTGACTCGAATCATGAAAATATGTTTATACCACAAAATGCACCAGTCATTAACTCCAGCATGCTTGTAGAGATATGCATCCAGATGGCACAAGTTTTCAGAGCCCCATAAGTCCTGCAGCAGAGCTGTCATTAAGCAAGTGATTGAGCAAGAGGTAGCAAGCACAACAGGAAAAGTTGCCCGACAATTCCAGGAAAGCCAGCTCCACCTACAGCTGGAGCTCAGGCCAGTACTGGAAGAAGAGAGAGAGAGAGAGAGAGAGAGAGAGCAGGCAACAGCGAGAGAGAGAGAGGGAGAAAGAGAGAGTGCGCGTGTAAGAGAGCGAGAGTCAAAATCAGCAAATAAGCAGAGGCACAGTATCATATAGAGCCCTAGCTCACATCCTCACAGGCAGGTCAGTGTCCCCTCAGCCCTGCCCATTCAGAAATTCAAAGCGTTCGGATCAGTTTCAGGTTCCCTTGTGTGACTGTACCTCTGCTTCAAGCAGCACAATGCTGAGGTACTTGGCAATTCCACCGGAGATTCAAAAAGAAAGGCTGAAGACACAAACACAGATGAGAAGGAGCCCGGGAGGCAGCGGGACTCATCTGTGATGTGGGACAGAGGTTTGGGATTCCCACAGCATCCAGTCAAGAAAATGATGTGGAATCACTGGTTCACCATCTATCGGAGTCTGTTATCCCTCCTCTCTGAGGCCATTGTTATTTAATATGCAACAAATCTGATGCAATGGATTTTTACAGGCTGCAAAATAACTGTAAAGTGGCTCAGCAAAAAAATGCTGAGACACGAAGAATCTGCCATACAATTACAAATAAAGACTGGCACTTTCTAACATTATGTGCTACATTCCAGTCTGTACCAGCTGGCCCTCATGTGGGAATCACTGAGGTACCATCTGCTTACCATGTGCCTCTATTTCCAGACACACCCCTGCTGCGCTCCATTTGAATTCTTCTGTCAATCAAAAGAGTCCCCAGGGTGACTTTTCTCTCTGAGAGACAGGTACACTATAACTATTAAAGGCATGCTACAGTTCGTACAAAGGACTGGGTAGAAGGTACATTGCTTGCGAGATACATATTGGAATGTCACTGGTATTGCCAGGGAATTTGGTGTCTATCATAAGATCGCACAGAGAATTGATCAGTTTGAATAAACAGCGCTTAGGGAAACCAGGAGAAAAATGCACATTGATGACTGAAAAGATTCAAAGTTACGTTTAAAAATAACCTCTTTTTTTTTTTTGCTCTTTACCAAAGTATTCACAAGTGTAAGGCAAAATTCTGACTTCTGTTCCCATTTAATGAGAAAAAGGGGAACAGTCAAATTCTGGTACTTACTGTCTGTCTATGGGGCATTGTAATATTGCCTACATAAAATTTCATTACCTTTTGGGACAAGCTGTATTAGGTTATATCACATATCCACACCAATTGGAACATGCATTAATAATGACAGACATTGTATTGATATAATATTGCTATGGGAGTATTCTGGTGTTATGAAGTTACATACTTTGAGACCATAAAGCATTAAATATGAAAACAAATGAGATCCAAAGTTCAGTTCTCTCAACAATAATGGTTAAATAAGATGAGACCTTAAATTTGGAGAGTAATACGACCATACAACCAGAATACTACATAAAACCTTGTACAAAAACATCTGACTCTATACATCACTTTAACAGCTACGTTTGGCAAACTGATTGCTTTTGGATAAGTGCAGCATTTTCAGCTGACAGTTTCTCTTCATACTCTATACTGAGGAAGATGCTTAGGGTATGGTATCCAATGTTAAATTTAAATGTGTGATTGTCTTTAAACTGAAGTATTAACTGAACATGTGTAATTTTATTTGATTAGGAAGTCACCTAATGGGTCACTAAGAGATGAAACAATTACAAAGTCTCAGATATGAAGACAATTTCCTGTTCAAGTACTGCCTAATCCCTTTGGTTATGGTCTTTTATCGCCCTTAATGATAGCTCTGAACCCTGTATTCGGAGTCTGAAAGAGTGTGATTGCTCTTTGTCTTCCTTCCTGGGGCACACACCTAACATATTTATCTATAATCCTGTCTTCACAGCGTAGCTGTGACCAATGTGTGGCCTGTTGCTGCTCCCTGAAGCAGCCAGCTCAGCAGCGGCCCACTCTGGCCTAATATGATTTACAGCTGCAGCAGCACAAATCAGCTGATTAGACTGACAAATCTACCTGATGTGCAGCTGCACACATTACTGAGATTAGCTTAATGGGAACTGGCCCTGACCAAGGGCTACAAATGCTGTTATTTAAATGATTACGGAGGACAAATTAATTACAAATCTAAATATTTCGGCAACTGAATTCAAAACGCATCTGTCAAGCACAACTGCACGGAGAAGAATAACAGCGTTATAAGTTTTGGTGTTGTGGCTGTGCAAACAAAGCTTTAGCTGGAAACCAGGTCCAATTAATGTTAGCAATGGCATTCTCACAGCGTAAGAAATGGAAACGGAGGTGTAGAGGTCAGCTGAAATATGTTCATTCTTCCTGCCTGTCACTTCTCTGCATGTTTACTGACACAGGTCATCCCGGTCAACATCAGAAGTTGCACCAAACTCTCATTTCCTCTCGGCGGCTTGGCAGGTGGCATCAGCGGGGAAACACTGTATCCTTTCCACCACCACAGGAACTTTAGAAAATGTGACTTTCCAAGTATGCAGCTGTGGTTTTGTGACTCAAACGTCCACACAGAAGAAATGTCTCATTCACTTCGGATCTATCTCAATCTGCACGTTTTTGCTGAAATCATAAATAATGTTTAGACCTGCTCTTGTTTACCGTCTGTCCCCTGTGCGAGGACAAGCAGTTTGCAGACGTCATTCAACAAGAATGAGTCTAACTTTTGTGGAAAACATTCAAAGAGCGACATCGTGTGGCTGATTTGTGAACTACAGCAAGCACAGTGTCCGGTCTGACGTAGAAATTAAATGGTGACCTATAAATTCCCACCAAAATAAAAAATAACTGCAATCTTAAGAAACGTGTAAAAATTTAATAGTCAGTTAATACTTCTGTTCCCAAAGCGTCCACCACTTGCAGCTCCTTCTCCTAAACTCTAATTATTATACATTATAAAAAGACCTCGTGAGTTACCATGGTGACAGCTTGATATCTATTTGTCACACTAGTGATCAGAAGCAGTGCTCTGGTGGGACGATGTCTAACATTCCTCCTCAAGTGAATGAGATAAGTTACTTATTAACAGGGGCAACCACAGACTCAAATGCGATAACTCAGCTTCACTCTTCATTAGCTCTGCTCTGTTTTTATGTATGCAGGGCTGATGCAAATGGGCTCACGCATGCACGCACAAACACGCACACACACTATATAAATATATATAGAGATAGATTTTGCAGAGGGAAAATGTCTGTATCCTTTATCTTATCAGCTCCGTAAATGGTATTTTGTAGGTCACGAGGCCACAAGATTGTGGTTGGAAGAGTGGCTTTATCTTCCTCAGTGCTGCAGTGGATCTCTAAGTCTGAGCAAGGGTTGGAAAAAAAAGGGAAGTGGGAGGAGAGAGAGAGAGAGAGGGAGGGAGAAAAGAAAATAAGGCTAAAAGATATATTCTTTCAGGCAGAGGCCATGTAAAAGTGTGTGTTTTAGGAAATGCTACACTGAATTGCTGCTTTAACACTGGAAATCGACTTTGTCTGCTCCCACTCTCTTTGACGCTTTTTAATTACAAAATCCCTGTTGGCCCTCCAAGTTAGTCATCTTATTCCACAAGTTCTACCCACACTTCATAACATGAAGGAATCTGTGAGCACCACAAGGCCAAACCACCTCAGCTCTTGCACAGATCCTTGCCTACAGGCTTAGAAACATATGACTCATTGTTTTGGTAGAAAAATACAGAGGCACAGAAACACAGTGAACAGAGCTAAGAATGACCCTCTGACTTACCTGCCACATGATTACAGCAATAAACAAGCAGAAGGAAAGAGCCACGTTTAAAGTCAGTCAGTGTTGATAGTTAGGCTCTACCAAGCTGATCCACTGCAGCGGTCTGAACTTTAAGCAAAGTCACTCGCCCCCTGAATCTCTGTGAGTTTCTGACACTAACTCTTTCCTTCTAGCCTACTGAAAAAACAGCAGGAAGATCAAAACTTACCACCCTTTTCTCTTCCCTCACTGAGAACTGCACCTATCCCATCTACAAGTAGTGGGCTGCAAATTGTTGAGATAGCCAATCATAAGAAAGGGGCAGGCCTTTCACTGGTTTGGTCTGTCTCTCGGAACTGTTAGAGCATAGGGTGTTACCATAACTCCGGAAAGAGGTTTGCTGTCATCCTCCAATGGATTTTTCCCCCCAAATAGCTGAGCTGCATGCCACAAAAACAACATGCACTGCATTAATAAACAGATTCATTTCAGATTCATTGCATGTTTCGTACGATGAGATTTGCATATAATATAAACCAAAATTTGCAATGCTTTATAGTTAACCCTGCTAAAATTAGTCTAGAATAATGCAGCTTCACGCCTAAGTCACGGTTCAATGGAGCCAAATGGAATAGTGCCTCATGAAACACAGTAATCAATTATTAATCAACTTTGCAAATGCTATCATGGCGAAGCAGAGGTATATTAATAGACTGTCAGTCATTTATGCCATATAACTATTAAGAATTGCTATCTTCATTATCTCAATGCTGATGAATAACATTGCTCAAGGTAGGAAGGTTACTTTATGTTAGCTTGGAAAACGCTCAGAAGAAAGCTTATTTCTTAAAGCAATAACACCTTTTCTTTTTCTTTCTTCCTTTTTTTTCTTGTGAACACATTCACTGAAATGGAAACACACAGGAATGTAATGTGGCTGCGACAGCTGACTTAGATATTGTTGAAAGTTTTCTCAGATTGTTGGCATCTGTTCACCAGTCTCACAGAAACGCTTCCAACGCAAACATGTGCTGGCTGACAGGATTGGCATCCAAATAGTGAGACTGATAACATCAAGTTTGATCCGTTTATTAGCACTGAATTCGAGCTTACTTTTGAGGCAGGGCATTACCTGCAACAACCTTGTCAACAACATAAGGTCAGAGTGGTTTTTGTTCTTCTTTTTTTAAATGGCATCCATATAAAGCAGACGTTTATGTTGTGGGGTTAAACCACAATATATAAGGCATGGCTTGGTTTGGATTAACTTTAAGCCAAAACCCCGGAGGAGGAGCAGTGAGATCTTATTTTTCAGTATAAAAAAGGATCAAAAGAAATGTAGGGGAATGACAAAAACACTTAGATTCTTATAGATGTTAACTCAAATAATGAGTTGAAATGCATCATAACTGCAGCTGCAGTTAGGTCAGCACCATGTGCAGTGTGGAAGCATGCAATAAAGTGCAAAAATATTTAACTGAGCACCACAGAAAAATTCACTGGGCCATAAAATCACCATTGATGTTTGTTTACATTTTTATATCTACATTTCAAACATGCAGACAAAAAAAATATGCAGAATACCGTATTTAATTTAGCACACTAAAACTCCCTCAAAGCCAAACTCCAAAGTCTAAAAGAAACCTAAACAGCTTTTAAAGTGTCATCCACTGGAAATACAGATCACGCCTTACCTCGCTGTCTGTTACTCAGTCAAGCACACAGTTCACAGCCAGGGTGACAGATGAATACAGAAATAAAGCCCAGGAAGGGATTTTTCTCAAAACACCGGCTTTCCTCAGAAGCCTCCCTTCAGCTCCCACTTTCTGTCTGGGTTCTGCTGCTTCATCTGTCTCACTGCTATCTCTGAAATTCTCTTCACACAGCCTCTTTTTCTCTAATCCTCTATAAAAGAAGCCGAAACTGCTCCAAATGGTTCAACCAGGCGCCGACTTCTCAGGCTTTTCCCTCTTTGTATTATTTTGTTGGCTGGGATCATTAACTTAGTCCCATGAGAACACAAGGAGGTAAATAAGCCCCCTCCTTCCTGTGGGAGGCTGTCAATCACAAATGATGATGAGGCAGTGAAGGGGGTGCTTTTAGCCAACAGGGAAGAACTCCTGATTGGTCACCAGGGAACAGAGGTGCTCTGCATGACAAATGAGAGCTCTGGGATAGATTGAATTGTGAAGATGCTCAGCGAAGTTTACATGCTCTTTTATAATAGACCTTTTGCATCTTATTCATTTACCTGTCAAAAGAATCTAAAGCCATGGTAATGAATAATCAAAGAGGGCAGCAAATGTCTATTTAATGCAGCTGAATTCAGGAAAATGTAATTTATGTTGTAAACGGCTAACTACTGTCAACACAAATAATCCCAGGATCTTTAAATGACTCTTTGGTACAGTCTGGACACTCAGCGGGGGGACCGCGAGGCAAGTATAAAGCTTCCGTTGCCATGACAGTGTGGCAAGAGCAACGGTGCATCTTGGCGCTCCAGCCAAATGCCACTCTAATCTTTTCACTGGCAAACCTTCAGCTCTCTCTTCACAGCTTGTTTGTTTCTCAGTCAAGCCTACTGCTGTCTGTCACTGTCCAGTTCCTTCCAGCAACCCATGCCAATCTAAAGTCTGCAACGTTTTGTAAGAAGCAAAAATGTGTAAAGACGCTGTTAGCGAGACAACAATACCTGAGAGAGGTCGCTCTCCTCCCGGTGACCATGACTAAATTGAGAAACAAAAGGCAAATTAAGCGGGTGACTCCTATGGCCATGTAACTAACATACTAATGGATGTGAAACTTCACAGGACAAATCAATTTAATACATAAAAAACTACCAAGCGGCATATAAAGATGAAGCTAATATGACTGTCACAAAAACCTAGTGGCATTTTAAGGCCGGCTCCCAAACCAAAGAGCAGAAATAAACACATTTATGGCATCATTTTTAAATAATTCACTTTATGGCTTAAAATTAATGGCAGGGCTGTTCTGGGTGGTACAGCAAGCTAGTACCAATAAGGCTGCTAGCTTGCTGTTAAGCTTTACCTGCGCTAATGTGAGTCACTGAACTTCTTCTTGACTTCTTGTTGCAGTTGGACAAATAATTTGTCCAGTTGGTGATTACAATTAAAATATTTTATTTGTATGTGACTGTGCGACCAGAAAGTCTGTAAAAGGACCTTGCTAAACAAGCTAGCTATTATTTCCTGAGAATTTAGCACTCTTTTAACACTCCTTCCTTACATTCTCTTCTTTCTGGGAGCAGAAAACAATAATAATGCTAAAGTTAAGTCTGGGTGCAAAACACAGCAAAGGTATTCCTCATATCAGTCCTTAGATGCACACGACCTTTTCAATAATTTCCAACAGCAAGAAAATCGGCAGGAAAGTGCTATTGCTCTGAGTACTATATATATATATCCACAAATTGTCTGCAGAATAATTAGTTCACTGCTTGCTCTCATATTGAGAATCATATTAGGGCAGTAAAAGGCAATAAAACTCAGGACATTAGAGTCATCCTGACATTTGCGGCCAGTGCTTTTTAAAGATGAAAATGACTTGCTACTTCAGGGTCAGTCTAAAGTCACGCCCTATTCTGAACTGTAATAAACGCGAAGTGGAAAAATGTCTGTTTCTGTTTTACTCATCCCATAAATATAAAACTTGTCTGGGCTGTGGTTTTAACAACTGTCCCCACCTCACCCACTGGAAACCCAATCTGATCCTTGTTAACACACAAATTCTCAGGGGCTTTCAAGTCCAGCAAATTGATCCATATTTATTTTGGTATCTTCTTGTTACTTAGTAGCTCTGCTTTCCACTAAAAGCAGATATAATAAACTGTATAAATCCAAATATTTACCATGGATTATGTCGTAATGCATCAACATGACTGAAATATAAACTGGCAGTTTCATTCTATCAAGCTGATATCAAATTGGACTCCAGATGTTTGAGGAGTAACAGAAGCAATTTTGTTTATGCTTTGTTAATGCATTTGTATATGTGACCTTTTGTGGACTGTTTTCTTAGTGTAATCTTACTAGAATTAAAAAAAAAGGTCATATTATAGCGCCCATATATTTCCTTATCAATAAATAACAGCATGGCTGGAATAATTATTTAAACAAATGAATATTCATCCTCACTAAATAAGGCCATTTACAGCCTGAGGCAGTTCTCTTGATGATGGCTGGCACATCAAGCTCTATAAATTGGGGGGGGAAAGCCCTGAAAAGGGCTAGAAATACCCTCCTGAAAAAGCAGATAAGAAAAATAGGCTGTGAAATTGAATGTTACATAAACTTTGATGAGGGAAAAAACAGGATCTATCCAAGTGAACAAATGAGCAGACATTTTTAAACTGCATCATCATCATCATATGTTTCATCTTGGTGTTTATTCTTTCCCAAGTTCAAACCTCTTTCATACCTAACAAAGAAATTCTTAAATATACATTAAACAGAGAATAAAATTTAAGGTGACATTTTGGAACTAGAGGACAGACACCATATGCTCCAAACAATGCTCTGACAATGATGAGAAATGCTCACTAAAGCATCAGGACTAATTAAAGAGTCAGGGTATTTCATTAGCAGCCAAACAGTAACAAGTAAATCTGACTTACATGGTATAGCAGAATAATCTTCAAAAACGCAGAAGTAAGATTCAACTCCCACTGACAGCTCAGCTCTGTTTTTCAGCAGCACATGGGAAATTAAACAAAACATACAGTAGCATCCTGGCTAGTCTCTTTCCACACTCCCTCCCTCATTGGTAAAGCTCTCTACCCTACCCCAACCCCAGCCGTATGCTCATGCAAGCGTAAAACATGTCCAGGAAGCGTCACTTCCACTGGGCTATTTCATGGATACTGTCTCCATTAATGCCTGGGCCCACCAACCCCTCCCCTATTCCGGGGTTGAGCTCTTGCCCCTGGCACCCCACCCTCTCAGCAATGAGACAAAGAGGTAACAAATGGAGAGACAAAGGGGGGTCCACAAACCTAGGGGGACCACATTTTGATGAGTTTCTAACTAAGCAGCCAGGCCTTGAACAGATGGGATCAGTCTCCAGGGCTATCCTGCATGGCTGGCTTTAATACACAGCTATATACATCCTCACAATTGTTAAGGTCTGCTCACTAAATGGCACGCATCACCTCATAGAGCACATGCAAGTGAAAGGCAACACAAAGGAGAATATCTTTACAATGTTATGTTTGCCATTAAGCCTTCAGAAATGACGGTAATTAAAGTCTGAATGTACATGCCCAATTGAGTTAGCGCATGCTTTGGCATCCAGATTGTCCTTTTGAGTGCAAACAGTGATCTAAGCAGCAATAATTATTTTCCTAACTAGGACAGTCCAAAACACTTCTCATTTTGCCAATAAACAATAAGATGAAAGCGTAGACTGCCCCCGCCATGGCAAAGGTTCAACACTTTAATTGCTTTCATCCCCAAGGCATGATGCCCACAACAAAGCAACACACAATCAATCCAAACATCAACCAAATGAACGAGCCCGTTAGTACCAGGCCAATTAACACTCACTGCAGTTTATCTTCAGCTTTCAACGGAGGTGTTATTTTGTGCAATTTAAGCTGGTATCTCAAAGAAAATCTGCACGTCTTCATTTTTAGAGTGTAGGAGGTTTAAGGATATAAACTGTAGAAGATCCAGCATCTACGTACGCACATTCACTGGGCTTTATGATAGACTGGCAGAACGTATAGAGCCGCTGTGGGCAGTGACCTAGAAATGATTCTTGTCCTCTTAGTTTTCTGCGGCTTCGCTGATGCTACGTTCAGTTATGCCAGCAACAGAATCAATTATCAGCCCTGTTCTGCTCTCTACTATAGTGTATCAAACGAATACATGCTGTGATCCTAAGTGGTGGGACTGAATTTATTATAAAATATTGACATAAACAGGCATATTTTAAGGGATTCCCTACAGAGCATGTCTGTTTAGTGCTTTTAAAGCAACGCTTTTAAGACACTCTGTTAATGTTTGAATAGTAATAACCTTATTCGGCACGTATAAAGCGTATATTTACTACACTCCACCCTGAAATGATGAGCATGAAGTTTTGAAAATTATGACAAGGGATCAAAAGAAAAAAGTGGAAGAACAAAGGAAAAGTTCATATATCATTTACAGAGGAAACTACTTATACTGCGTTGTTCAAAGCCTACTGTGTCTGGTGCTTTCTCATTGAATTGAAACACTGAGGATTTTTTTTCCCCCTTTTTTTTGGAAAAGTAAGGTCATGTTTTATGTTTAGTCCACACCACAGCCCCAAGGCCTGAAAGTCATGGCTTGTATTTTATTTTATTTTTTATTTTTCCTGACAAAAATGTATCTTTCTAAAAGAGTGCATGGTGAACGCCTGCTACATTCTTGCTGCTTGGAGGAATCTGTAATTGCTTCCAGCTTCTGAGGGACCCACTAAAACTAGTGTCACGTCTTTATCATTATACTCTCACTGACAACACTGGAGTTATCTTATCAAAGATAGTGAAGCATTGAGCTAAATACCCCCACAAACACAAGAGGCAGCAATTAAAGACAGTACTTATCCAACACAGGAAGGAATAAAAGTGTACCGTCTACTCTCCAGTGAAGAGGTTTAACACTTATCTGTTCTCCAGTTCTCCGTTAGAGAAACAAAGACACAGTGCCACTGTGCTCAAACATCCTACGCCAGGATATGCTTGAGGAGCTCTGAACATCTGTTTTGGTGCACTGTGTTCATGCGTTCATAGAGACTGTTGGAGCCAAAAGCAGAAGTGCAGCTGTTGTGATCTGGGTCAGCTGCGTCTGAGCTGAGCGATGTTTTCAACACACTATCTTTGCGGGTTAAATTAAATTTTGACACTACCGTCGCCGTTTCATTTAGCACTGACCATGATAACCGCCGTCGTGTAGAGAACGTACACATAACAGTCTGTCACTGAGGTGTTACTGCTTCGCTGTATATGTTG